CATTGCTGATGACAGTGGCGACACTCCACCGTGCAAAGGCCCATACGGTAGGTTTGGCATTACCACATGTAGCAGTGTAAGGTCTCGCAGGCGGAACTTACCGAGTGACTGCGACGCGCTTGTTGTAATCTCGCTGAGAAAGCGTCCAAAGTAGACGAAATAGAAGAAGCAGAAAGAAAGAAAAGCAAAAGATGTTCCCACACCGGAACTCGAACCCGGGTCTGCTGGGTAAGAGCCAGCTATCCTAACCGCCTAGACTATATGGGAAGGCTGAAGAATGAAACCGTACTCAAAATAACAAACCCAACGCAAATACACACACGCACAACCACTGCAACCACTGCAACCACGCCCCAAACGCACACTTCATACGCACTCGCCATCCTTCGAAGCGCTCTCACAGATACGACCCCGCTCATTGCCTTTGCTGAGCCGCATAAACGCATCGACGCTATTCATCGTCTCATCGGGACGACATATTTATTATACACTGCTCGAGGCCACCTTGCCGTCCTTTGGCTCGGTTCAGCCGGTTGACGCTAGTGGGCGTCCGAGGAGAGGTCATTGCTGATGACAGTGGCGCCACTCTACCGTGCAAAGGCCCAGACGGTAGGTTTGACATTACCACATGCAGGAGCGTAGCGACTCGCAGGCGGAACTTACCGAGTGACTGCGACGCGCTTGTTGTAATCTCGATGAGAAAGCGTGCAAAGTAGACGAAATAGAAGAAGCAGAACGAAAGAAAAGCAAAAGATGTTCCCACACCGGGACTCGAATGCTGGGTGAGAGCCAGCTATCCTAACCGCCTAGACTATATGAGAAGGCTGCACAATGAAACCGTACTCAAAATAACAAACCCAACGCAAATACACACACGCACAACCACTGCAACCACTGCAGCCACGCCCCAAACGCACGCTTCATACGCACTCGCCATCCTTCCAAGCGCTCTCACGGAAACAACTCCGCTCATTGCCTTTGACGAGCGAATAAATACTTGGACCTATATTCCTTCTTTATCTTGCGGGAGGACTATATATTATTACCACGCGGCTGCGAGGCCCCCCTGGCCTTCTTGTGTTTGCGTTCCACCGCGTGGACTTATAGTGGGGCTTCGAGGAAAGAAACATAAGGTCATTGCTGATGACAGTGGCGACACTCCACCGTGAAAAGGCCCAGACGGTAGGTTTGGCATTACCACATGCAGGAGCGTAGGGACTCGCAGGCGGAACTTACCGAGTGACTGCGACGTGCTTGTTGTAATCTCGCTGAGAAAGCGTGCGAGGTAGACGAAATAGAAGAAGCAGAAAGAAAGAAAAGCAAAAGATGTTCCCACACCGGGACTCGAACCCGGGTCTGCTGGGTGAGAGCCAGCTATCCTAACCGCCTAGACTATATCGGAAGGCTGCACAATGAAACCGTACTCAAAATAACAAACCCAACGCAAATACACACACGCACAACCACTGCAACCACTGCAGCCACGCCCCAAACGCACGCTTCATACGCACTCGCCATCCTTCCAAGCGCTCTCACGGATACGACTCCGCTCATTGCCTTTGCCGAGCCGCATAAACTCATCGACGCTATTCATTGTCTCATCGGGACGACGTATTTATTACACGCTGCTCGAGGCCACATTGCCGTCTTTTGGCTCGTTTCAGCCGGTTGACGCTAGTGGGCGTCCGTGGAAAGGTCATTGCTGATGACAGTGGCGACACTCCACCGTGAAAAGGCCCAGACGGGAGGTTTGGCATTACCAATGCAGGAGCGTAGGGGACTCGCAGGCGAACTTACCGAGTGACTGCGACGTGCTTGTTAGTAATCTTCGCTGAGGAGAGCGTGCAAAGTAGACGAAAATAGAAAGAAGCAGAGACGAAAGATAAGCCAAAGATGTTCCACACCGGCACCTCGAACCCGGGTCTGCTGGGGGAGAGCCTACTATCCTAACGGCTTAGAATATAGTCGACGGCTGCACAATGGAAACCGTCGTCAAAATAATATATAGCTAACGCACACACCTCCACCCCCCACACCCAATGCGCACCCGCGACGGCCAAGCCCCCAAAACG